ATATAATTATTATTTTTCATGACAGGCAATTGGTCAAGTATTCTACCTTCGTCCTTATGTCAACGATTTCAGTACTCAGTGGGTTCTCTCTTCTGTTATTATGCTGACTCTTGGCTCGGTTTTCACTACTTACATTGGGGAAAAAATTACTGACTTGAAACTTGGAAATGGAACATCCCTTTTGATCTTCACGAATATCATCTCATACTTGCCTGCATCCTTTGGAAGGACAGTTGCACAGGCATTTCAAGACGGTAACTATATTGGGCTTGCCGGCATAATTGTTTCCTTTTTTCTGCTGGTCCTTAGCATCGTCTATGTTCAGGTGACTATTACTTTTAACTAGTCAATTTTTTTATTTATTTATTTTTTTTTTAGTATTATTGTTGCAGTAAATTCAGTAAAGTTGTTTGCAATCATCCAGGAAGCAGAGAGGAAAATCCCACTTAATTATGCATCAAGATACACTAGTGGAGCTGGTGGGCTTTCGAAATCTGCATACTTGCCCTTTAAGGTGCATAAGCGTTTTTTCCCTAGTTATTTGTCATAATATTTGAGTTGGATGAACTCATGAACATCTTTTGGCAAGTTTAGTAGGGGAGAATTTGCTGATACTTGTGCTTTTAGAAGATCTGATTTCAGTAATAGAAGCAGAAATGGTTAAGATTAAAAGTGGGTTGCGTATGCTAATGGTAGCTCAAAACAACATAAGTTATAGTGAAGCACTTTTTCAAGATGATCTTTTATATTAAAAAAAAGGTAAAATGAAATATTATAGTAGTGACATCTGAATCACATATTTTTTATTTGGGAAGAGAAATGATAATTTTGAGATTATGATAACAGTTTGAGAATATAAAAAAAAATGCAAATATACCAAATGGTCTTTTCCAAGACAAAATCATGACACCCTAGTTTTATAACTTCTGATTTTTTTTTTCAAGTGAAGTATAAAAAAAAATGAATATTTGCATGCTTTAAATAGAAAATACTTCTCTTCCTATGAATGATAGCATCATGGAAAGAAGCCATGATTTATTTGGTTTCTCCAAAAGTTAGAAAATTTCCCTTGAATGGACTTTCTTCGCTTGAACTTTGTCCCCTTCGCATTTTGCTAGTCAGTGTTCATTTTTTTGTTCCAGTGTAATAGCTAGGAAATCACTATTAGCTGTTATAGCATCGAGTGCAGATATTTTTGCTTCTTTAGTTCGTAAAATGTTTGTCCTTTTCCCATCCACAACTAAATTAATAGAGGTAAATGTGACAGGTAAATAGTTCTGGAGTGATGCCAATCATCTTCTCCACTTCATCTTTGGCTCTTCCAGGAACTCTTGCACGATTTACCGGTATTAGTTTTCTGAAGAAAGCTGCTGTTGGTCTAAATCCTGGCGGTAAGTTTTCATGTACTTTTT